ACGGCGGCTCCCCGAGCGGGGGGAAGATGCTGCCGGGGTCCATCCAGATCTCCGGGGAGACGTTGTCGGGGGCGGAGATCCGGGACATCTGCGAGAGCCTGCGGGAGAACTCGGTGCGGCTGCTGTCGCTGCGGGGCTGCCAGCTCTCCGAGCGGGACTTCGGGCACGTCTGCCGGGGGGCGGCCGAGTCCCGCTCCCTGGCCCAGCTCAACCTCAACCTGGGCATCGTCTCCAACATCAACCGCGTCAAGCAGCTGGCCGAGGCCCTGAAGACAAACCGCTCCGTCCAGTCCCTCTTGTGAGTACAGCGGGGCGGGGGGGGGGTGCCCTGGCCCCGGCCCCTCCCGGGCGGGGACGAGTCCTGCGGGGGGCTCGCTGCACCAGGCCAGCCCCTGAGTTTAAGTCTAGTCGGAGGAAAAACGCCCTTGATGTGTCAGAGGGTCACCCTTCGCCCTGGGAGGGAGCCACCTTCACTTGTCCCCCTCAAACCACCACCATCCCCCTCCCCAACCCGGCTGAGCACAGCCCTAGCTTTTCATCCTGGCCCCTCCAACCCGAGTTGCCCCAGTGCTGGGGGCTGCCCCTGCCCCGCTGGCATCCCCTGCACCCCCTCCCTCATCCTGAGAGAGGAGGGCCACCATAGCAGCCAGGTGATGCCTGCAGTAGAGGCTTCCTGGGGCTCTTCCCCCACCTGGGGTTAGGAATTATCATCCTCATTTCATCTGCTTCTCCCTCCCCGCTGGGTTAATTAGCCCCCAGGAAGAAGGCTGCTTAGTAATTTTCCCTTTTACCTGCACAGCCTCCATGGGAGTCCCCTGACAGATGCAGGCTTGGCCCTCCTCAACCCTGCTCTCTCCATCCACCCCTCGCTGGTGGCTCTGGATCTAGGAGACTGCATGCTGGGTGATGAAGGCATCAACCTTATCTGTGGGCTCCTGCCGCCTGACGGGGCCAAGTCCGGTAAGCACCAGGGGCTGTGGGCTGCATCATGACCAGCGGAGCTCTCACATAGAGCAGGTGCATGCAGCAGTGAATCCTCAGCCCTGGAGGAGGGAGGCTCTATAGTTTGCCTGGGCTGAGGAATTTCTTTCCCCAACTTAAGTAAAGCAGAAAAGTCGAGCAATAGGGGAGCGGTTCCCTTGGGCAGGTATGGTCTTTCTGCTATTGATCTGTCCTGCTGGCAGTTTGGAGCTCAGGAACCAACAGGTTGTTTCTGGTTCATGGCGGGAGTGTTTTAAACTGGAGGAGGGGACAGCTTGGTCTTTGAATTTTGAATTTGCATGTTGATAATGACCATATGTAAATATATGGTGTGCCGCCACCCGAGCACTTGGCTTTATTGTCAGTGCCTGGGAATCGTCCCTGCTTGTGGGTGCACTTTTTAAGTGTGTAGTTGGGTGGTCATAGCCTTAGCATCATGACTCGGATCTTTACAGGGGATGATCTTCAGTGGTCAGTGGGCCAGTTGAGCTGAAAGCTGGGTGCTGAGGTAACACCACCCCTCTCTCCTGACTTTCAAACTGCTTTCTACTTTCTGTCTCCAGCATCTCCTCCTCTATGTCCTCACAGTGCCTCTGATGCTGTTAGCTCAACTGACAACCCTTCCCGGGTGCAGGCTTCAGAGCCTATTGTCCCTATTATCCTCTCTCCAACCTGTCACCTCATGCCACCTCCTTCTCTTGGTCTGTCACCTCACAGACCCCTTACTTGTTTCCACTGCGTTTGCTATTTAGGGTAAGGGAGGCACAGTTTGGGAGAGCAGAGAAATGGGGCAGTCACAGCATGGGCGAATGAAAGGACACTGCTGAAAGCAGTGATGACAGTTGTCAAAGCTAACCAAACCCTTTAGCCTGTTGGAGTGCAGGGGACAAGTCTCAAAGCTGTCCTGGTTAGCTGAACTAGTTCCCCTGAGACTGCTTTGGTGGCCCTAAGGCTCCGGTTTGGCTTCTGTTTCTTCTCCAGGCCTCAAAGAGCTAACGCTGAGCGCCAACCCAGGTGTCACAAGCAAAGGCTGGGGACGCCTAGCCATTGCAGTGGCTCACAGCTCACAGCTCCGCGTATTGAACCTGGACTACAACCCCCTAGGTAAGCTGGGGGGCCAGGGAGGAGGGGCAGGGGACGTGGCACTCCTGCTTCTCAGCATTTGTGTGCTTTGTGCTGGTGGGGGGCCAGGGACCGAGCTCTAGAAGGGCAGCAGAGTGCCACCAGCAGGATGGGGCAGTTTCTTGCATAGGTGCCTTTTGATCCCTGGCAGCAAGTTCACCCTGCCAGGTGCCCTTGGCTTGTAGGGAAAGCCAGCCTTGCTGCTCTGCTCGTGTGACGTGGCCACATGCCCTGTGGGGAGCCACAGAAAGGAGGTTGTGCCTTGCCCGCTTCACTGCCTTTGTCGTCACGTTTGACCCTCCACGTCTCCCCTGTTCCTGAAGCCCTGGGCAGCGACTGGCAGATGCAGTATGTCCCCTCGCTCCCTCCTTCCTCTTCCAGGCGGTGGAGCAGGGAGGAGGAGGAGGAGAGCCTGGCACTGGTTGCCATAGAAACCAACTCTCTCCAGCTCTGCTGCAAGGTGGTGAGGAGGAGACCAGGCCATGCCTCCCTGAGCATTACAGGGCGCACCCCTCCTTACCCCTTCTGGAAATGGAGCCTTCCTCCAGGCCCTGCCTGTCTGACCGGGGTACCTCCTCTTGCGCAGGAAAGGCTCCAGGGTGTTACCGCACAGCAGCCTCTTTTTTTTTCTCCAGCAGAAGGTGTCACAGTTTTACAGGATCTTGGCACTCGCCAGGGAATGTCAGGAGACAGCGGTAGAGTCTTGTCTCTGCACCAGCCTCAATCTTTAATGCTCCTGGCCCTGCTGTGTCAATCCTCGAAAGTCTGTCCCCTTTCCAGGGATGCAGTCTGTCAGCTGGCGCAGGGCCCCCTGCCTGACCTCCCCCTAGTCTGAGGTATTCAGCTCCTTCTTCTGCATCTGAGATGTTAAAGGCCCTCACATCCTTGAGTAGGAAGGAGATTCGGGAAGACGTGATTCCTGAGGGAATAAAACCAATTTCACTGTGTTCCTTCTTGTTCCCCCTGATAATCAGCTCCTGTAACCACAAAATGGCGCACCTTTGCCTTGTCTCTTTTCTCTGTTAACAGCTTTTTCTTTTCTTTTTTTTTTCTTTTCTTTTTTTTTTTCCCCCAAGGTAATATAGATTTGGAGGTTGTCTGATGGCAGAAATACACAGAGGATGTTTCCATGACAGCTCCAGGTCCATGAGGGCATGTGGTATTTCATGAGGGAAGGCAGGCATTGCTGATAGGCCCGGTTTGCTTCTCCCACAGGTGACCAGGTAGCAGGGATGCTCGCTGTCGCTGTGGCCTCCAGTCGAACCCTCGAAGTTCTGGACTTGGAGGGAACAGGACTTACCAACCAGTCAGCCCAGGTAAGAGAGCCCACAATTACTCTACAGTATCACTGACATCTCAAGGGCACAGGTCTTGTCTGTCTATAGAGGCCCTAGGATCTCTATCTGCCTCCAGACCCCTCCTTGTGTCCACATGCACCCCCTTCCCTTCCTGAAGCCAGGGTGGCTGTTGCATTCCCCTGGCCCATGGCATCTGGCCACAGGAGGAGCTCGTAAGCCACAGCTCTGACCTAGGGGTCCCGGATCTCCCTCAAGTCAGCAGGGAGAAACTCACAGCTCTATTTGTAGTGTGGTTTTCTCAGGAGAAATAAGGGGTTGGAATTGTGATTGGGGATCAGAACTAAAGCTCTGAGGACAGATGGGGACCAAGGTGTGGTAGCACAGGCTGTCCTCTCAGAGCCCCAGCTCCCAGTGATAAGAGGGGACTAGCCTGGATATGTGGGAGCAACAGGATGGAGAGCAGTCCCCTCCTCTCTAAAAAGAGCCAGGAAATCCAGGCTCAGCTCTTCCCCTAGAAAGATGGGAAGCCTTCAGGCTCTCAGGAAGTCTGGCAAAAGGAGGTCAAAGCCAAGGGGAGGCAGAGGTAAGAAGAGTTTGCAGCTGGCGTTTGCAGGGAGACAGAGCATTGAAGCTCTTTCTGCTCAGCCTAGCTACTGTTTGTGCTGCTTGTCAGCCTGGTTATCTCGCTCTCTGCCCAGACCTTGCTGGACATGGTAGAGAATTACCCCACAGCCCTACGGACACTCATCCTGGCGGAGAACAACATTAGTCCCGAGCTGCAGCAGCAGATCTCTGACCTGCTCTCGGAGGGTGAGGAAGAGGAGGAGACGGAGGCTCGCGAAGTCACAGCCAGGGAGAAGAACCCCTGGATCTGCCAGAACAGTAAGAGCTCTGGGACCTGGGCTGGGGGGGCAGGGTGTTTCTAGCACCGCTGGTCTTTAATGGTGGGGTTGATGAATGGGGTCTGTCCCTTCTCCCCGTGAACTAGAATCCAGACAGCCTCCAGGCACGACCTTCACATTAAATAGCGTTGGGCTGAGCCACAGTTGGAAAGGCAGCCTCCAAGGACAATGCGGCTGCAGCAAAGAGTGGAAACGGTACCTCAGAGGCGTTTTCCCTGATGCTGCAGGAACGAAATCTTTGTGCAAAGTCTTAAAACTCAAGGGCAGGAACATTAAAGATCTCAGGGGCCTTTGCCAGGTATCCTAGCCAAAACTCATGTCATTCCTCACTGCTTCCAGAAGAACCTCCTGCAATCCACACAGTATCAGCTATTCCTGTTACCATCCCAAATGTGCAAGGGGATAGCCAGGTGCCACAGCCTATCTGTGCAGTAGCTTTTAACAGGAAAAAAGTGTATTATGGAGACAGCAGTTGTGTGTTGCTCATATATATGATACTATATATTGTCATGACAAGCCTTGTGATCCTGCTGCTTTTGGGTTTGGGTTTTTTTTACCTTTAGTTGTGCTTTCCCCCTCCGAATTCTCATATCAGACTAACAGCAAACAAGCACAGTAGCTCTCTGGGCCTCAAAACATCTGTATCTTCATTTATTAGAGCCATAAAAATCCTTTACTGGCATCTCTGGCCAAGTTTTGGATCCAGTTTCCAGAAATTGATCCCCAAAACAGAGATCCCATGCAGTAGCTTTGAATGTGTAGGATTGAATCTGAAGCACACAGGCACTGAAGATCTTCCCCCTCACATCCAGGAAGAAATTTTTTTTTTTCCTGTTTAAAAAGGGTTCTGAATGGGAAACTGGTACCCTGCTGAGTTCCTCACTTGCTATGTGTGCCCATCCTCCTTGCAGCTGATTCACTTGGCGTGGGGGGAGTCGCAGTGTTCCTGGCTGGTGCTCTGTGCCGTCGCAGAGCCAGCAAGCTGCCCTCACCTTCCCGAGGCAGGCAGGGAAGGGCTGCACAAACCCTCCATTCATGCAGCGCAGGAAGTCAGGATTTCCAGGCCTCTGCTGTCATAGAATGGCTGCTCGCCCGCTGCGGTCCCTGCTCTTGGGAAGGCACCGCCACCACCACCCTATGTGGGCTTGGTTGGCTTGCAGCCTGCTGGCCCGTGCCTCCTGGACACTGTAGCTGAAAGGACATGGTCAATGCAGATTTAAAAGGGCTGTGCAAGGCTGGGTGAGGACACAGCTGGGCCAGCACAACCAGTATCACCTGCAAGAGTATGTGGGGAGGGTTCAGAGCTGATGTTCCTCTTGACAGCCAAAATAACAAATGCAGATCCGCACCCTGGGCTCTTGCTGCTGTCTCTGCCTTCCCCCTTCTCCAAACATTGATTCTGTTCTGCTGCATAGCCACGGTAGATCTAGTTACTACTTAATCTCACAATCCTCTCAGCAGTTTGCTTTCCACCCTGTGGCGCTCTAATTCCTCATCCTCACCTCTGGAGCTGGCATACAGCCCCGCGCTCTCCAGCAGTCCAACCCACTCGTGGTTTTCTCCTTCTCTCACCACAGATTCCAGCTCCCAGATGGTCCTGATGACGTCAGGTCTCGGTGACAGCCTCTTAGCAGAAACAGAAATGTAGCTGGGCTACCCTGCCTCCTTCTGCCGAGAAGAGCACCGTGCCCACTGGAGGAGTGTGTGTCCCCCAGCTCCTCTGCCTCTGGTGGGCTGCCACAGCCGTCTTCTCACACATTTCATGTCCTGTCGATGCCTCCCTCAGCTCTCTGAGTGCCGGAGCCTGGTCTGAGCAAATCTCTACACGCGTCTCTGTGTTGTCACACGCCCCATTGGCTGCTTGTGATTGTCCAGTCACTGTACGTGTAGCTCACGCTGCCCTGCCTCCCCCCCTCCCTGCACCCGGCTGTGCCCCCAGGGTGCAGGCTGTATTTATTCAGATGTGTATAAGAGATGTTCTTTCTATTGCTTGTACCGCTGTCACGATAAGAGTTTTATAAAGGTCACAGATGTGGCACCACTTGCGGCAGCGTGAGCCTCCATCACTGCCTGGTGGGGGTGTTGGAAGGTGGGCAGGGGGCAGCAGCTCCTTGCCCGCTGCCCACCTGGCTGGTGGGCTCCCTCCATCCCTGGGGGGCAAACTCTCTGCCATGGCCTCCTGGAGGTTCTCTTCCCAGCCCTAGAGGGAGGTCGGGCATAACCCAGTTTGCTGTCCCCCCTAGGCTTTCCCTTTGCCCAGGAGGGAGAGGGCCCAGCTGGAGCCCATCTGCGGGGAGCCTGGCGCCAGCTGTGCACCCTCTGGTGAAGGTTTCACTGCCTGGCCAAGTGCCCCTTGCCAGAGCTAGGCAAGGAAGATCGCATTTCAAGGCCCTGATTAGGCTGGAAGATTAAATTGTGGCAGCAGCTGCTACTCAAGGGAACACAGAATGAAATCATTAATTATGGGGACAAAGAAACAAGAAGCTCTTCCTGCGTATGCTTTGCATGTACCTAGGTCAGAAGGGCACAGACAGCACAACTTGGGAGATGGAGGAAATTTCTTCACAGCCCTCTGACCTCTGCAGCACCATTCAACATGAAAAGGAAATGCTTCCACATGTCCACATCAGCATCCTACGGGAACTCCTTCTCTCATGTTTGCAGGGATTCAACCCCAACCCTCCCTCCTCACACAAAATACTGACACTAGAATTACAGAACTCTTAGTAACTCCAGGGAGGGAGTGTGTTACATGTTCTACATAACTCAGTTTCTGAAATTGAGAACTGATACTCTCATGTGACTGAGAGCTGAAGCTTCAAGAATTAGCTACATCACATCCTATTCTAGATCAGTACATGGAGGTCTTTGCCAAGACACAGATCAGAGAGGACAGCCAGCAAAATACTTGAAATGGGGTAGGCAGAATTTTACGAGTAACGCAGGCTGCTTACAGCACAAGCAGCTTCATTGCAGAGGTTTTGCCAAGCCCAGCCTTTGCAGCCTTTAAATAAGGTGAAAATTGCCCACACTGTTTTGTGATGTTTCTCAAAGTTGCCTGGTTAAATAATCTGCCCTTTTTTTAAGCTGTTGTCAGCTTCCGAGTGAACCATGACAAGTGCTGCCGTGAACAATGGATTCTGGTCTGCAGGCTCAGTCTGCTCTTTGAGCTGACAGCCTGCGTTCAGACCCAGAGAGCAGTTTCCAGAGTTTGGATATAATTACAGAAGTAAAACACCGCTCACCCCACGTATCACTCCTTTCCTGGGTCTGCACCTCTTCTCTGACACAGATGACTTGATTTGCACAAACACCTGGAATCAGGCTGTTGCTAAAGTGGGCACTGAGGATGATGTCTCCCTAGGAGAGCTAAAAGGTGGCACAAGCAGTTCAGCAAACGTGAGACATTGTACCATGAGGGGTTCTGCTCGCTCACGTGCTCAGGATCAGTTCAGTCCAGGTCTTAACCAACAGAGACAACGCTATAGCCATCACCATCTACTTTTAAAATAGTTTATTTCTGGTCTTAAAATATACATCAGTTTGAAAATTTCAGAAAAAAAACCCACATTAGTTACAGATTAACAGTCTGGAGTTGGGACACTGGAAGTGGGGTCAGCTCAAGGCCCCAGAGCCAATACTGCTGGAGGTGAGCAGGAGTGCAAGGGCAGGCAGCCTGCCTGGCAGGAGAGGGCTCTACTCCTCTTGAGGCCGTTCTCCCCCTCAGTCTCCGCCAGCAGCATAATGCTGCGAAGCATTAGTGTCTGGTGAGGTGTTGCACACACACCCCTTTGCCACCCCTCCATTTCTCCACTGTTTTGCTTTTAAGTCTACCTTCACCAAAAGCAGAGGGAGGCTGGCTCTGCCCAGCACCATCAGCACCAGCTGCTTCAGCAAGAGTGGGTTTTGTCCCCTGACCAGCATGCCAGGATTCAGAGGGGATGGGGCTGAACCCTGAAGGGCAGTGCCCCCCACACACTGCACAGGTGGGTGTGCTGTCCCACAGGCAGGCCACCAGCAGCTTCAGAGCCAGAGGAGCTCACTCAGTGAGCATCCAACCCTAGGTGATGTCCATGAGGCAGGAGCTGGCAGCCACAAGCCCTCAACAATACTGCAGAAAAACAGAAGAAATGCAGCAGTGGAGTGGCTGATGAAAGCAAATGCAAAAGCCCCACCACCACATTCAGGACAGGGGAGATGAACACCCCACAGGCTCAGAGGAGGCTCCCACTCTCAGCACCAGCCTGTTTGCACAGGTATCAAGCAAAATACTGTAGTGAAATACGAGTCCCACCTCCCCACCAGAGGGTGGCATCCAGCTCCACAACTGTTAGAGGCGGAAAAAAAAGTGAGCGTGTAGGCAGCAGCTCCAAGCCAGGGCACACAAACCAACTGCACAGCCAACAAACACAGCCACCAGAGAAGCCTCCAGCTCCCTTTCACAGGCCCTGGAGCCTCCAGGCTTGAGCTGAAGTCCTGGCCGGCCCCAGCTGCAAGCTTGCAAAGATGGGGGGTTTGGGGAGGGGGGCATGGCCCCCAGGCAGTTCTTGGCTGCACATCTTGTTGTAAGTGTATGAACAGGAGCTCCCTCCTGGACAGAGGGCTGCTCTCCTACAGCCCAGTGAAGAGCCCTCATTGAGTAGGGTCAGAGGACAACACAAACCCAACTCAAAAAACAGACAGCAGGCTGAGGACAGTCGGTGGGGTGTGAGGCGGACACAGCCCAGTGAACCAGGCTCTTCTCTGCCTCACACCCCTGGGGGAGTGAAGAAACACCAGACAGACAAGGGCACGGGACAAAATTAAAACAGGACACCTGGACTTTGTAAGCCCTCAAAAAAAAAAATATACCTACATCTACAGCCCTTTCCCCTTCTCCCCCCCCCCATCCCACCCCCCCCCAGAACAAGACACCGAGCACACAAGACTGTGAAGAAAAGTCACACAATATCACACTACACTAGGAAAAATGCACAGCGAGGCCCTACCCAGAAGTGGAGGCCCCAGAGAGGCACCAGAGCCAGCCTGGAGCTCCCCCCCGAGAAGGGGGCGTGCGAGGAGACCCTGGCAAAGGGCTGCTGCCCAGCCATGAGGTAGTGCATCTGCAGGGAGCAGCTCCTCAACACGCTGCCCTCACATCCCTGCTGGCCCTGCACCAAGCCCTGCCCAGAAAAGCCCAGTAGCATCCTTTACGACTTGCTTGCCCAGGGCGAGACTTTGTTCTCAAGTCTGGAGGGGTTTCTGCAGGCTGGAGGCCAGGATCAGAGGGAAACACAGCTCTGAGAGCTGAGCCTACTCAACACACCCTCAATGCAGGCGTGGGACCGCCTGCCAACGGCTGTGTCTGTTTATGCAGGGCGGGGAGAAAGAAAAAACAATACACCCCAAAACCAAAGGCTTGGAAAGAAGAAAGAAGCCCACCCAAGAGCAAAGCATCAGCACCGTTCAAAACAAAACAACAGCACAAGAGAGCGGGGGAAGAGGTGTGAGGGAGGAGACACACAAACACAAACCCCAGCACCTTGCTGGCAGTGCCTCCCCGAACCGCCTCGGCAGACAGCACCCATGCCCCACGCCACAGCTCCAGCACCCATGGATGGCCACAGTGGGGGTCGGGGGCTGAGCCCGGCGCAGGAGCCAAGCAATGGGGACCGGCAGAGGCAGATTCTGGAGAAGCACCCAGAGGGCAGCTGAGGAAAACAAAACCCAGCAGGAATATGAGACACCATCAGTCCCAGCGTATCCCCAAGAGCCCACAGCCACGCGCTGGGAGAGTCCTTGTGCCCCACTCACAGCCCCCGTGGGCTCCCAGGGAATCAGACACCACCACACAGGCACTCCGCCCTGTTGGCACAAGTTAAAAGAGAACAGAGCAGCTGTGGGCAACCAGCATGAGAGCACCCAGGGCCCCAGGTACCTGAGTGGGAAGGGGGAAGGAAGATGCGAGCGTAAAGAGGCACAGGCACCAGGACGAGGGGTACCAAGAACGAGCTCCGGTACAGGCACCAGTGTGAGGCTGTGAAGAGAGCTGTAAGTGTGCCAGGGCAGTGGGTGTGCTTCTGCACACTGTGTGTGCTAGTACTGCGGGTCTGAGGTGCCAGGGAAGGGAGACCTCAGCTCTTCCAGATAGCAAAAGAAGAGAATAAATATAAAATTTCAGAGCAGAGAAGCCCCCAAGGAGGAGGGTACCGAGGGAGGTTTCTCCCTCAGAAGGTGGACAGATGGAGGCAGCCCATAGCTCTGCAGCGTGTGGCTGCTTCTTGCCTTGCCTCAGCTGAGGAGGTTGCCTTGCTCCTGGGCCTGTGTCAGACTGTCCTTGCGATGTAAATGGTGGACCCCCATCCTCTTGGGGCTGCGGTGTGGCCGACTGAAGTGAGGTTTGACTCTACCTTCTCCGCTTTCCTCTTGGGCACCTCCTTGGTTGCTCTCCCTGCTTCCCTGGAGCAACATTTCTCTCTCCTCACCTGGGCTTTCAGGCAAGCCAAGGTCCACATAGTCCTTGTGCTTCTCTGGTGAAGGGCTTCCAGGCTCAGCAGTGCCTTCTCCGCTTCCCTGCAACAGCTTCTGGGCTTCATCTTGAGAGAAATCTGTACCATAGTCTGAGGAGAAATGGCTCCTGCGGGCTCTGGACTCAGTGCTGTCTGTGTCCACGCTCGAGTCCCGGCTCACGGTCCAGCTGCAGCTCTGTGCAGACTCCTCGCCATCCGAGTAACCCGAGGCTGCCCTACCCAGCTCCTGCATGGAGCGGCTGAACCTCTTCTGGAGCTCAGGGGCCGTGTCACGGCTGAAGGCCGTGCGGTTCATCAGCACCCGCTCTGAGGTGGGGGGTGCCTTGTCCACAAACATCCGCTGCCAGTTGGCCAGCAGGTCCTCCTCAGAGCTGGCAGAGCTGGCAAAGGCGCTCGGGATCTGGGGAGGGCTGCTGAATGGGCTGCTCTGGGAAGAGCCGCGAGCCCTGGCTGCTTTGGGGGACTGCTGGCAGGAACAGCTGGAGGCCGAACGGCGCCCTTCTGAAGCAGGGCTGCTGGGGAGTGTCCGGTGCCTGTCACA